CTGAGAGCAAGTAAATCAACATTGTGACCAGCGATTACTAAACTAATATAACAAATGCTTATAACAAATTTGTTTTAACATGCTCTGGTCAGTTCTGTCGTTATCTCAACCCTTCAAGCCCCACACTGGGTGCCAAAAAGGATTGCTGTGGTTTAACCCCAGTTGGCAGCTAAGCACCACACAGCCGCTCGCTCACCCTCAACCACCCCCAGTGGGATGGGGGAGAGAATCAGAAAAAAAGAAGTAAAACCCACAGGTGAGATAAAGGCAGTTTAATAGGACAGCAGAGGAAGAGAAAGTAATAATAATGATAAAAGAATACACAAAACCAGTGGTGCACAATGCAATTGCTCACCACCCACTGACCAATGCCCAGCCCGTCCCCGAGCAGCGATCGCTGCCCCCCAGCCAACTCCCCCCAGTTTCTATACTGCCCATGACGCCATATGGTATGGAATAGCCCTTTGGGCAGTTTGGGTCACCTGTCCTGGCTGTGCCCCCTCCCAGCTTCTTGTGCACCTGGCAGAGCATGAGAAGCTGAAAAGTCCTTGACTGGTGTCAGCACTACTCAGCAACAACTAAACCATCGGTGTGTTATCAACAGTATTCTCAACCTAAGTCCAAAATACAGCACTATGCCTGCTACTAGGAAGAAAAATAACTCTATCCCAGCTGAAACCAGGACACAGGGGAAGGAAAAGCCTCTCCCCCCTGACCTTGGCCACCGTTCCCAGCCCATCTGCGCATGTGGCAGCACCTTGATGCAGCTCCTATGGGCAAGGGTTTTTTTCCTATTTAGCCCCTGGGTACTGAGGATTTAGTTATTTGTGGGTTTTTTTTTATTTTAAATCTTATTTAAATATTTATTTAAAATTTGTTTTAAAAGCCATATCCAGGACCTTCGAGAGTGAGTGCAGTTAGTAGTAATCATGTTATGCCATGCTGTCAGTCAGAGTGTTTTTGTATTGACTGACATTTGGCTGTTCATTGGAAGTGTGAATTTATAGGATTTCTCTATATTTCTTATTTTTCAAGAACCGCCTGTGTGCTTGAGACGTCACAATAATAAAAAAAATCTCTGTTTCAGAGAGAATTATAAGTAAACAAGAAGAAATAGCTAATTCTTCGGAGCTTATTTAGGTACTTGAGTGAATTGGGCCTAGCTGTACAAAAATGTAAATAAAATATTTGGAAATTCTCTTGCCAAATGCTAGTTTCTCAATTACCTCATTAACCTGGATGTTCCAATAAGCTTTTTTTGGCAGGTGCTTGGCATATGCACTTCAGGTGACATTGTGCAGATTGCAGTTGTTCAGGCTAACAGCTCTCCGACAGCCTGCAAGTGGAAACTGCTGCTTTCTCTGAGCAGGAGCACAGGATAAAACAAAATGCTGCCAGAGAAACTTCTTAAATGAAGCAGGGTGAGATTCAGCCCTTCTCTAGATATGACGGTTAGGCCTAATTACCTGTCTAAGAGTGTGGCACCAGAAAGTGCTAAGGTATGAATCATAACTGATTAACCATGCTGGGAAAGAGATTAACCATGCCTGTTAACAGATTGCACAACAAACTGTAGATATAAAATAGAAAATAAATAATATAATTAACATATATAAAGACATAATGTAATATATAATAAATATAATATTGACTATAAAATGTATAACAATTTATACAAAATGCAAAATATAAAACTGTAAATATAAAATACATAGAAGTGGTGTAGAAGACTGGAAAGATTGTAGATTGATAGCATGAAATCTCTGCCTAATTCATCTAGAATGAAATCTAGGTCCAAAGCACACGCAAAGCATAGAAAGTACGATGTCCCGCTTGCAGTGCTTTAAATATCCAGCTCTATCAGCCCGAACCTGAGTGTTCAGGTTAAACTGGAGCAAGAAATTTTAGTGAACGTTTTCCTGTAGAACTGACAATAGGAAGAAGGTGCAGATGAGATTTTGTGTCTGTTTTGTTAAGGTTGAGAGAGGAAGAAAACTGTGAGAAAGAACTTGTTTGTAAGAGTGCCAAACAGTGATTAGGTCTGCAGTGTTGCAGATCAGGAAAGGATCATGAAAATCAGAGGAAAACCAGAAGCCAACAGAATAAAGATTAGACTTACAGTGTATGGTTGAAGCATGTCTTCAGAGGAAGAGAAGGTGGCACGGGGTTATGAACTTAATGATAAATGGGTGAGGGAACTTACAGGGCTTGAACTCCATGTCACACTCCATTTCCACCATATCAAATGGGATTTGTTTAATGTAAATACGGCAGTTGGGTGACAAAGTCAGAGAAAGAGAGTGGACAGGCAGGGGAACGGGTGGGAGGTGGGGGCAGATTTCAGTGTTGCCATCACTGACTTGGTTGGTGAAGCCAATGAACAGAGTATGTGGCTCAAAGGTGAGGAGCATAAAATGAAAGAAAATCAAGAAAGTGGTTATTTTTGTGGACGGAAGAGAGTGAACAAGAGAGATTTGGGGAGGAGCTTACTGATTGCTTCTGAGACAGGTATGGTAGGAAGGAATAGGCTGGAGAAGCGTTTTGCTGTACGACCATGCTGGGGTCACTGCTGGTCTTCTTGTACAGTGGTTCACTTGGAGCATGAGGGGCCTGGGTGAGAGAGGGACTCAGGAGTGATGAGAGAGAAAAATTAAAACAAGATTATATTGGGAATAGACAGCATGGTCAAGGATCCCAGAAGCAAGAGGACAGTAAGAGGTAAAGAGGTGCTAGGGAAATTGCAATAGCATAATTAAGTAAGATCATAGAATCTTAGAATCATAGAATCATTTAGGTTGGAAAAGACCTTTAAGATCATCCAGTCCAACCATTAACCTAACACTACCAAGTCCACCACTAAACCAATTAAGGGTAGAGTAGTAATTTCGTGTTTCCTGGCTTGGGGCTGGATTATTTTTTAATGAAAGTGAAAACTAGGAATCATTAAGGTTGGAAAGGACCTCTAAGATCATCAGTCCAACCATCAACCCAACACCACCATGCCTACTAAACCATGTCCCAGAGTGCCACGTCTACCCGTTTTTTGAACACCTCCATGGATGGTGACTCTACCACCTCTCTGGGCAGCCTGTTCCAATGCTTGACCACTCCTTCCGTGAAGAAAATTCTCCTAATATGTAATCTAAATCTCCCCTGATGCAGCGTGAGGCCATTTCCTCTCGCCCTATTGCTAACTACTTGGGAGAAGAGACCAACACCCACCTTGCTACAACCTCCTTTCAGGTACAAATACAGCAGTTTTGGCTGACAAGAAAATATTAAAGGTGAAAAAACATCCCTTCAACACTAAACTCTGTAATGATTTCTCTGTGAGTAGCTAGGAATCTGAAAATTTGTTTGTATTGCATTTGTATTCTCATAGCAGTAAGGCTTGATCCAAAAGGTGGTAATATTGTACCGATAAATATTTATTTTACTGAAGGTATTGTGGGTTGCATTGGGAAGTCATACTGAGACACAAACATCAAACCAAAGACTAGTTGGAGCCTGCCATGTGCTGCTCCTCTGCAATGCAACTCAATCTGCTTTCAGTGAAAGTCGTAAACACTCATCACATCTTGGGATGAAGCTTCTCTCATACCCTCTGCAGCGCCTTTAAATTTGGAGATGCAAAAGAAGGTAGAAACACCAAGCCCTGCCCACTGCAGGATACCTCCTGAAAGTTACCAATTGCTCTTTCATCTTTAGTCAACAGAAGTCACCGATGGACAGTATTTATAAGACGTTAAATAAGATACAAAATGAGGCCATCGAGGGCAAATTATGGCCTGCGCTGGTGGTAAATGCCCTTATCAGCAACACTCCCCCGTTCAGACCTGTATTTGCAGTGCCTGCAAGTGACTCTCTATACTAACAGTGCAAATAAAGTCATGGAATTTCAATAAATAATTCAGCCCTGGATCTGATTTCAGGTTCAGCATTAACTTTCAGCACCTGGCTGCTGTTATTATTTGTTAGTCCGATACGCTGCTTAGAGGCACGGAAATTTGGCTGCAATTCATCGACATTTGCAGAATGTACTATATGACCAGATTACTGTCCCTGGCTCAGAGATTTTTAACAGACATTCAAATTCCAGATGTGCACATGCTCAATTCTTACAAGAAAAACTGCATGCAGGATCCTGGTACTGTAATGGGAACTGGAGCTCTGCATAGAGCTTGCTTTGGAGAAATGACTCCTTTATTTGCACCTGATCTCTACTAGAAACAGGAATAATTTGACTATAATTTGCATTGCCTGTGACACCTTTTGACAATGAGCTATCTCATCTTTTTTCCTGCAGCTTTCCTGGGGGAATTAATTTTTTACATATCTAATCAGCTCTCAGGATATGGAATCATCAATATTTGAAACACTTATAATTGGTGCTTTGTGAACAACTAAAACAGATTAAGTCCCAGATTCTTTTTCCAGAGCCCATAAAGCCACTTGTAATTTTAATCACTTATTAGAAAGAAACTAGTGAATCCGAAATATGACAGTGCTCTCACTGAAGTCAGTGGAATATTTGTCATTAGTGGGAATATTTTGTAAAATATTGACTGTGATGGAAGCAGAACTAGATCAAGTGCATTTGAGTATAATCTATTAATAGCTGTGGCACCAAAAGGCCAAACCCAGAATACGACCCTATAGGCATAAGCTTCCAAAACATAGGAGCTGCATTCTGTATGTGCAGAGCATGAACAGCCATCTAATACGAATATGTTGCAGGACAAATTTGTCTTAAAAAAAGATTCGTGGCTTTCTTGTTCAACATCCTTGCCTCTTCCTATGAGATACACCAATGTAGCCAAGACAACCAAGCAATAGCTGATGCTTGAACATCTCTATTGACTTTAACTAAGATTTGGATTAATTTCTGAGTCCTGCTGGGGCCTGACTCCCCAGATCCTGTGACTAAGGTTCCTTCTACCAGTTTAACTCACATACAGCAATGCAACTTATAGAAAAAAAAACCCCAAAACCCACAAGCGATGGGGTAAATTAGCTACCTTTAGCAAAACCCTACAAATAGGATGTTTGTGGTCGACTTCCCTGGGCATGAGAACTTCACCCTGCAATGCAAACATAGACCACTAGAGGGGATTTTACTACCACTCTATGTCTAGCATATGTCTATCCTGAAAAAAAACTTTCAAAACATATGTTCTAGTTCAACCACAAGATGTTGGCTACAGACTGAGTGAAATCTATGGTTTGTATTATGCAAAAGGTCAGGAAAGATTATTATAATTGTCCCTTCTGGCCATTAAACCTATGAGTGAGATTCTGGTCCCGTCAAAGTCACAGGCAAAATTCCCATTGACTTTACCAGGGCCAGACTTCATCCTGTGCAGGTCAGAGGAAAGCAGAAGTCTGTGCCACCAAGCATCTAGCAGTGACAGCAAGAACAGCTTTGCTGTCAGAGTTACTAATATATACTGGATTTTATATAAACTAATATATACTTAGGATTTTAAAACATCCTATGCACCTTCTCTGCTCTGCAGTAGGATGAAATAAATCAAGACCAGTTTTACCAACTTTTTTTTCTTTTGATTTCTTCAAAGCCTCCACTAATGCAGATTACACAACCTCCTTAGAAAGCATGCTTTGTGTTTCATTATTCTTATAATTACACTGGATTTTTTTCTTCCCTAAAGCTTTATTGTTGCAAATTAAGCAAAATATTTAATCCTATCCTCTGTGGGCATGAACAACAATGGATCATCATCCTCTTTGTAAAACAGTCTTCTACATGCTTGAGGACTGTTGTGTAGTGGTAGAACATCACATGTACATCGCATTATCTTGTTGCTGTTGCTTGTAGATGCGTACGCTGATGATTCATATTGTTTGTGATTGACATAAAACCTCCTTTGCTTCATCCTCGCAGCCTCACCAGCTGTTCCCCATCCTGTATTTGTACATTAGATTTTGTTCTTCTTACGTCTTATACCTTGAGGTTTACTTTCCTAAATTCCATTTAAGTGATTTCAGACAATTTGTTCCAACTTCTTAGCATCATTTTGGAGTCTACTTCTCTCCTGGGAAATACCAATAACTTCTCTGTGCTTGTTGCTGTCAGAAAATTTTGTAGGGTTCTGTCTATTCCTTCCTCCATTTTGCTCATGGAAACATTAAATATGACTCATCTTGTCGTAGACCTTTGTGGTACCTCTATTTGTTAGGTGTTTCTAGACTAACAGCAAACTCGATTATTACTACTCCATAAGTATTTTTTTCAACCACTCATACAGGCACTTTGCAGATATTTCATACACGTCCTATTTCCCTACTTTGTTTATGAAAATACAATCTGGAGCTTATATCAGAAGGCTACAGAAGCTAGCTTCTATATACCGGCTGCTGCCTGCTGCTTCCTCCCTACCCACTGTGCTGGATACCCTGTCAGAGAATAAAATTTGGTTGGTTTGATATCATTTGCTCCTGATAAGTCCTTATTGTCTTGTCTTGCCAACTTTACATCTCCACATGTGCTTGTGAGCTTACTGTTTAATCATTTGTTCCAGTATCTTTCTGTACGTTAAGCTTATGTATCTGTAATTTCTTGAGTTCTTTTCTTGTTCCTATGGCATCTCACTTGCAACTGATTATTGATGGATCCCCAAAAAGCAAAGCTTTTAAAAGCGGTTCTCTGTGGTTACATCCAGTGGCTAATGTGGGTACACAGGACCCTGTGCCAGGATACTGGTAATTGATGGGAACACAATTGCTTTGTTAGGTTGGAAAAGACTCAGGAAGAAGTGTAAAGGATGATTGTTATTAGTCTATCAAGGCAAGAAAGAAACATATCTGTCCAGTCCACTATGTCCAGAAGCACATGAACTTTGTGCATAATCTGCTAATGAGAGCTGTGATGAGAATGGCAATTTTGGGTTTTGAAGAATTTCAAGATTTTGCTCTAAATTGCTCTAAGTCTAAAAAACACATTTTAAAACATTTGCAGTGTTATTGAACAGAAGCTGTGGGTTTCCTTTGAGAAGGGAGACTGAAACAGACTCAGTAATTCTGAAAGGAAATTTTGGTGGCTGGTGGGTGGGCTGCAGGGCAGCCAGGAGCCCTGCGAGTCCTGGCCGAGCTGCATGTTGGGACCCCGTGCTCTTAGGACTTTGTGTGGTCCCAGCACCCTGCCCATCCTCCCGCTGGACTGCCGCGGGTAGCCAAAGACCAGGGCTCCAGGCATATTTCCAAGGTGGTATGGCCAAAGGCATTGCACATGTCCACCAGGTATTTGTCAGATTCCAAGTGTGCTCCTCAAAAGAATATTCTTCCAATGGAGATTTTTTTTCAACACTCTTACATTCATTTTTTGCCTAGTTGCTCAAGAAGCTCACAGTCAGGGATACTCCCAAAGCAGATCTAGAATATTCTTACTAAGACTTTTAAAAACAGCTGTTTCTTCTGGGTGGCTCCTGGCCTGATTTTCCAACGGTGGAGAGCTGATACTCAGCCGCCTTCAGATTGTCTCACAGGATCTAAAACTGCTAGCCACTTTGAAATTGTCAGCCTGCATTTACCACCCATCCTTTAGCTGGTCTTTTGCTGACATTAAAAGAATCCTTATAAATGAAAGCCATGCTATATGTGGTTTGTCTCTGTGATACTGCTGATGTTACTTAATGACTCTCACTCTTCTGGGGGCTTTTCCCTTACACATCACCGTATGAAAATTAGATTTGGTATGCAGAAATTCCTCACAGCAAAGTATGATGGAATGTGATCTCCTAGAAAAAAAAGGTATTTTGGTCCCATCCTTAGTTCGGGAATTGTTGTATATATTTTGGGGTAGAAAGTTTCATTATAGTTCCTACTTCCTTTGATTATTTACTATCAATAACTCATTAAGCTGAACGCATGCAATGATAAGTAAGGGATCTACAAATATAAATGAGAACAAAATAATTTCTTGGTCCAGCGTGTCAGATCAGTCTGTGCTTTTCTACTCTGTTGATATTATCAAGTCATAGACCTTGAATCATTTTCACATGCTGAGTCTACCTGTGACTAGTCTGTAGTTTCCTAAATTCAGACTGTACCTGACTGATTGGAGTTCTGAGGCATCTCAAAGTTTATTTCAAAGCAAAACATATTTCATGCAGAACATATGCAGTGACCAGTGGCTCTAACAAAGCCCTTGAGGAAAACCAGGACCTATTTGTACAGGTTGATCACTGTGCATGTAGCTATTCTGCCACCAGGACCTCAGCTGATGTGGCAGATGAATCTGCTCTGCTTGAGACAACTGATCTTTAACTATGAACATCCTAAGCCACCATGAAAGGATCACTAGGAAGAGGCTGACCTATATGATTGATTCTTTCCTGCCCATGCTGCCATTCATGTGAATAGAAAAGCTGAAAATAATGAATTACCAAACCTAAAGAAAATATTTGTCGTCTCTTAACTACTGATGACCACAGGGTCTCTACCTCCTGAAAATCCTCCAGAGTACAAATGCATCTCTCCCAAAACTGCAGAGATCTGAGAAGTACAACAGCAGCTCCTTGGAGATCCTCAACTCTACTGACATGCTGCTCAGCCTGTTTGAACCAAGTGTAACAAGCCAGCTCCCTCCAAATTGGCCGACAGTACAGACCAAGTTAAGCTTATGTGCATCTATAATATATGTCTGTATGTATGCCAGACTTGGACAACATTTTGGCTGGCTTTTGGGGAGCTGGCTAAAGAGTTTCACCACTTCCTTTTTGTTTTGTTACTACCCTGACAGTCTTTCTAGCAAACGCTCTATTTTTATTTGACATATATGCACTTGGTCCATTTCCATGTGTGTGTGCTTAGGAATATATTCCTGCTCTATCTTGCCCTCCCTTGGAAGGCTGCTGCTAAGAGTTTCTCCTAGCAAAATGAAATCTCGGAAAAAGTCCAGTGAAGTTAAAATGCTGCACAGCAAATTTATTATTGTTGTTATAGGCCCCTATTCAGGAAAGTACTTAAGTATGTGCTTAAGTCCCATTGAAATCGTCAGGACTTAAGAACATGCTTGAAGTCAAGCATATACTTCCTCTGAATTGGGATGTATTTCAGCACATGCTTAAATGCTTTCCTGAACCAGAGCCACAGTCAACAAGAGTGTCCTGTGATACACAGGACTTGTGCTACAAGATTTACTTCTTACTTGAGACCTACCAGTGCTGCTCTATGAATATACACGTCTTAGCTTGCCTCCCCGTTGGTGGCACTCCAAATAGCTTACTGGCTTTTACATTTGGACAAGAAGTTGTGAAAGAAAAGAGACGAGAAACTGGAAAAAAATGATCCTTACTAAAGCAATACCTTGGCATGTCTGATCTCATGTTGCAGCCAATGATT